AAACATGGAAGTCGAGAACTTGGGTAGACGGTGCCTTTAATGGTGCCTCCCTTGCTTTTTTGTCATAATAGTAATTCAACGAAATCTGCACGCTAGTCAAGCAAATCTTGTGGAAGTACAAGAATAAAAGTTAGACTTACATTCTGTATCGGTCCATGCTCAGACTTATGACTTCATGACTTATTTGCTGCGAGTGTCATCATTCCTTCAAAAATACTTACATTGATTTTTAAATTATAGGAGCGCACTCACATCACTCCTTCGGAGGCTTATTGCTTTGATGGTTCACAAGGGACCTTAACAATTCGACTATGGGCTAATGCCACAGTGGAAGCAGTGGAGTATGAACATGACTACTGGCGTGACGTAGTTCCTATCAGTGCTCCGGATCGGTATGACGTCATGGTGAGACTCGTTTCGTTGACTTTTTTCTTATTCAATAGTTCTCTTGATACTATTGCCCTCGTCGCAGGCCACCGTCTTGCCTGAATTTGATGTTCCTCTAAACACCTAAAGGCAGCGCGGGGAGGTGGGTGGGAATCCAGCATCAAATTTTGCATTTTACAGGCTTGCTTGGACCATGATTGCCATGAGAAAGCTGTGCTGGGTAAATGTCGTTACCCGATTGATGAAAAAGTTGGCCCTGCACAGTCTTGTGAAATGCAGGTTTGTTAGACTCATTGAATTTTTCCAAAGTGTGAAGCTGCGCCTGTGTCGACATTCCGATTATTGTAACCGTCTTGGATTGAATAAATGAAATTGCGCAACTCCTTAGCGAGAATCTACGAAGAGCGGCCTCCACCCGGCTGCACTCTTCCTTTGCCGCTGAATGTATAGCACGTTCATCGGTAACAGGTGGCTGTCGTTAGAAGCCGGCGGGCACAGTGGCACTTTCTCGGTTGAGGCGCAAAAATGACCCTTTCTAGCTGATGTAGAATGTATATTCGTTGTTTTTTCTGATGACTTATCATGTGCTTTAGAATCGATCAGTGACTACGGATCAGGTTCAAATCGTCTTTCGCACGAATCACGGTCAGCAGTACACGTGTGTTTACCTATTGAGAGTTCTGAGCTGGAGATGAGATGTGTTGCATTTTTCATGATTAATGCGTTTCATGCTCGTTGTATCGAAGCTACATCTCATACAAATGTATTTACGAGGTTTTGTTCGATCTTGCCCTACACATTAGGAACCACACTTTTTCCGAGGCTCCCATTTTCGGTGACTATTTGCAAATTTTTTCTTTTTCCAGCTCTTCTACTGTATATAGGTCTGATTCTCTGTTGTATGCTTTCAGCAGTTAACTAAATGAAGAGTGATGATGACAAGACGCTTTGTGGAAGTTATCTTTCCTTATCCCACTAGGGTCATACTCTTTTCCTGTGAAATACCGCAGAATGTCCAATACCGCTAGATGGAAAGCGATGGCGTGAGAGCGCAGGGCCAAACTCAAAGAACGAAAAATTTTGCGCAACTTGTTTTCGAACTCCTTCCATTTTTCCTGCAATTTATTCCTAGATCTTGCTTTTGTCTATGATACAGACGTCGCCGAGCTTGATGCGAGTACAGCCGGTTCGGAACGTGTCAAACTCTATGTCCCTTAACACAGCTGCAACCTAAAATACCACACGTATTTTTTGAAAAAACAACGCGAAGTCGCGCGACTCACGTGACATTATCGCAGCGTGGCCATATCTTGCTTCAAAATGGACGAATTCGTAATTGAAGGGCACCGTTCAACTCAGCTCAGCGCGGTGCATCCTTTGATGTACAGAAGTGCCTGTTTAGACACAGCAGAAGCTCGGATTCCTCAAATCGTTTCAGGTTTTTGCTTAAGGCAGGTTACCCAGTGAGTGCAATGAATAAGCACACTGAGTCTACCGCAAGTGAAAATCTAAAACCGTGGAATCCGGCCTCTTACTGTGTCCGAACAGGCACTTCTATACATCAGGGATGCGCCGCGCCGAGCTCGCCGAGCTGCGAATGGTGCCTTTGGATTAAAAATTCGTACATTCTGAAGGAAGACATGGCCATGCTGCGGTGATGTCACATGAGTCGCGCGACTTCGCATTGTTTTTTCAAGAAATACGAGCGGTGTTGTAATTGATGCTGGGGACCTCACGTCATAATTGACCTTACAAGGGAAGGATACTAACTTAGATTCGTCTTTTGAGATGAG